AAAAAAAAATATAAATAAAAAAAAAAGAAAAGTAACACATAAAAAAATAAAATAAAATAAAAGCCACATATAAAAAAAGGGGAAAAAACCCCCCCAAAATGTTTAACTCCCCCACCCCCACGTTTACGCGCCTATAAACGTAAATACGCGTCCGGTGCCCCAGCGCGCAAAAATTACAATTGCGCTACACATGTTACATATCGCCGCGAACGTCGCAGTGAGAGCAATCATTTTAGGGCCATCAATCACTGATAACACTAAACTGATGAGCGGTAACAGCTTTTAAAGCGTCGCCTAGGGCCAATTTTGGGTATTATCGTTTTTTGAGGTTTCGCGCGCGCACGCAATTTTAAGGCTTGACATGTTTAGTGTCTTTTTACCCGACGTGACCCCATCTTTTATATTTTACCAAAAAATTGGGTAATAATAAATGTTTTATCATTTAATATAGGGCAAACTGTTTTTTTTTTATAAATTTCGGTAATTTTTCCTTAATATAGTAAAAAAATAAAACCCCCAGTGGTGAATAAATACCACCAAAAGAAAGCTCTATCTGTCCCCAAAAAAGGGTATAAAATTCATTTCAGTACAGCGCTGCATAACGGAATAAATGTCAGTTAAAGTACTGAAAAATGGCCTGGATGGGAAGGGGGTTTAACACCGCGGATGTCAACTGGTTAAAGACAGCTGGAGCAAATCTATAATGGAGCAAAAAGCACCAGACGATTCGCAAAAAAAGTCAGATCTAGCACACAACATAAACGCATCTTAAGGCTAGTTGCGTCTTCTACATCACCTCCCCTTTAAATTGTTTAACATTTTCATTTGTTGCCATGTGGGCCTGTCTGTGAAATGCTTGCATAGGCACAGCTCTCTACGGAGTCCATTTATAAAATAGTAGTGGGAGAGCGCATTCACTTTACATGTCAGTCGTGTGACCGATCTATCTTCCAACTACAAAGTGTTCTCTGCATTGTTATGCTGCATACCTCACTTTGCTTTTAATGACTTGTTGAGTTGTAAAATACAAACGTGGTATGCAGAAAACTCATTGATGCTGATGAAGAATGGATAGGCATATCCGCTCTCATATATATATATATATATACCCTTGTGTATCTGTGATTCCCACCAGCAAATTTTTGGGCACAACAGAAACCTGAGTGTAAGAAAGCTTAACGCTCTAATGGACCTTCTGAATTAAATTTACATTTCCCAGCCACTGTAAAAATAAAAAGTCTAGTAGCTGCTTCCCTGATTCCAGTTTAAATGATGCCCAGCCTTGCTCAAGCCAGAAGTCAGTGCACAGGCAGCCGTGGTCCCACTCTCCTGTACTCTTCGACTACAGAAGGTGCAGCCATGACCCAGTTTGCCAGCAGTGGTGGCACATACACGGCACTGTTGTGTGATGTGTGTGAACCACTCCACTCTGTCCACCAGAATAGCATAAAAGGCCAGGAGGAGGTCAGAGGTCATGTGAGCGCCACTTGGATGAAGGTTTCCAGGTAAGTAGAGGGGAATATATACCGTAGATTTATATTTTAAATCAAGTACTCTCTGCAGGGATAAGGAGAGAAGAACGGATCTCTATGTGAACATATTGCTGTCTTCCCTTATATTAATCGTTTTACTTCTTTCGCTCCCATAGGAGCTGGACTCAATGGCAGGTGATCCTAAATGGCTGGATATCATAGAACGAGATCTTCATAGGCAGTTTCCTTTCCATGAAATGTTTGTGGCACGAGGGGGTCATGGGTGAGTTTTTTTTTGTTTGGTTTTTTTCCCCAACTCTAACAGAACACTTGCTAAAAAATGAGCTCCTACCTCTTCTCTGCTCATCCATGGCCCTTTTCTCAGTATTCTTTGAAAGCCTGTTAACTAGATCAGCTTTCTATACCTTTTTATCCTGGCATTTGTCTGTACTGCATTATTCAGGCTTTTCCTGGCTGCAGAACCACATTTTTTTCAGGTTATTGATTTCTACTACCCTGAGAACAGCAGATTTTTTTTTTAAATCATATGATGGCCTTATGCCATATTTATTAAGCGTTAAGTGCTGTATTATTAGATATCTCTTTGCCAAGAGTATAGATTGTTTTAACCTCATGCCTGTCAGTACAAAGTAATGATAGAGCTGTTGCTTTGTAATGTAAAACCAGACAGTGATCGTTCTCTGTGCATTGTTTGTTAGAAGTAAAAGGGTTTTGTAGTTATTACTTTTGTTATTTCTGAAAGAAAAGTAATGCAGAGATTAGAAATGGTGGCTGTAAAAGGACATGATCTCTATCTGGTATATAAACCCAGCCTACAACTTAAGGCAACATTGATGGTCACTGACCATGAGAAGGAAGTACACAGATGAGACATTCTGACTTCAGAGGCTGTAGAATTGTTCTGGGTCAGTGACCCAATCTAATGAAGCCAGCGGATTGGCATAAAAGCCACATAACTGGCATTTTCAGAAGGTCAGTAGCAGCAATCTTCATACCTCTCTCATGACTGGTTTCACTTTCACCATAAAAGGGAACAATCCTTTTACTGTAATTGATGGCAAAATGAAAAATATTACTTGGAAGGAAGTTGTTGGCTTCATTTACAGGACAAGGCAGATCTGTTCACTCTTTTTAAAATTGAAACGTTTATTTGCTTATGTATGGTTGGCTTGAATGTATACAATTTATACTTGTTATAGGCTTATGCAAACAAAAAACAAAGGTTTATGCAACTGCTCCTGTCTATAGTGCTCGAAGATTGACACTATACAGGCTTGAAGTGTGTATTTCCATTTTTGCAGTCAAATTTGAGAAAAACCCTCTATGTATTGTGTATCCATTCACACAGCATACCAGAAAATAATTTAAAAAAAATATTTCTTACCTTTTTTTAGATGTTTTTTGGCAACCGGCATCATGGCTGAAATCCAGGTTTTTTTGAGCACCTTCACAGTGATCTCTCCTTTTAGAAAGACTTAAGCGGGCCATACACTATATGCGCATTTCATCTGGTTTTTGATGAACCGGTCAACAATGGGTGCTGCTGTTGGCACCCTATCAGCTAGCATCCCTCGATCAGCCGATCGAAGGAGCCAGTTGGGAAATATTCGTACGGACAGAGCCGGCAGCCAATATGCTGCCAGCTCCGTTCAGGTATACTGACAGTGGTCAGCGGAAATACACTTAAAATGTACCTGTCCTCTGTATTTCATTTTGTGTTTGGGGATGTAAAACCCGGTCGTGCAAATAGCAACCAAGTAATGGCGTGTGGCCTGCTCCCTCTCACTTCCTGTGCTTTATTATTGGCTCTTCAGTGTGACAGGCAGACTAAACCTGCGGACTGAATGAAGAAAAATTCACAGATCCCTCCATTCACGCTAAACAGCATGGATGAACCAAGCTTCCGCTGGGCTGTTGTATTTTAACAGCGGCTGGTGTACCGCTGTCGGAGAACCTGATTTAGAGACTGCAGCTGATTGGCTAAATTACTGTTGGGCCAATAATTCTCGGCCCAGCTCCTCCAAGAATGTCAGGTGGCAGTATGCTGACAAGGCCACCCATGTAACAAATTTCGTCCGGCCTTATCGCGAACCAGCCAAAATGTGCTCAGTGTAGGGCCAGCTTTACTGACCAGTAGTAAACATTGATGTGGGCAGTCCACAGATCTCAACCATAGTGGCTTGTTTGCTGTATACTAGGTGACAGTCCATGTGCAGTCACCTGAAAGTGCCACTATGAAATGTAATCTACACCTTAAAATAGTGTGCTAGCATGTTTGTGTTTCATTATATACAGCAGTCTAGTGCAAGCCTAAATTGTAATAAAAATCCTTGCCATTTGCTTGTTTTAGTGTTTACCCTAAATAAGAGATATATTCTTGTCTTTGTAGCCAGCAAGATCTCTTCAGGGTACTAAAAGCCTACACTCTATACAGGCCTGATGAAGGATACTGTCAGGCCCAGGCACCCATTGCAGCTGTCCTCCTCATGCACATGCCAGCAGAGGTGAGAAGTCCAGTACACTGCGTGTCTTGTGCCAGGTATAAGGTGACAACTCTCACAGCTCTTGTCTCTTCCACAGCAAGCATTTTGGTGTCTGGTGCAGATCTGCGAGAAGTACCTGCCGGGATATTACAGTGAGAAACTGGTAAGGACAAACTTGGCAATGTGGTATTGTTCTGGCACAGTCACTGTTTTCTTTGGAGAGCTGCAGATAACAATTGGCACCATGCTGGATGCAGAACAGGGGTCAAATGTTTGCGCAGCGCTTTACAATATAAGGAAGACATAACAATCACAATACAATTCAAGACAAGATGGTAAGGAGGGCCCTGCCCCTGGGGGCTTACAATCTAAAAGGGATGCATCCTGGGAAGATTACATCAGCATTGCATTGCTGGGAAATCTCATCTGTGAATTGCAAGATCTCAGTGAAAGGCATTTTCCTTCCATGAGATGATGTGACTAGGACATGTGACCATGCACATGTGCCAGAGTTCCAGGAAGTAAAGGGAGATGGATTAATCTGCCCTTAGTAGAAATGACCACCATGAAAAGGCTGGGAAGGAAAAAGAAATAATGTATGCAAATAATACAAATCCTACAATGATCTAGAAGTATGTGTTTGTAGATTGTCATTACTGAACATTTCTAAAGGTGACTTTGTTGTAATGTCTAAGATAAGGGTGAAGTTCCTGTTTAAAGATCTGGATAGAGTATTGAAGGTTAGAGCCACTGTCAACTATTTACTGCTGACTGTGTAACAATTAGGGAGATTTACGCTCTCCATTTGCTCTGATGACCAGTTTTACCAGAAATGAAGGTGAGGGGAAATCCAAAATTTTTAGTTGCCACCAGAACAGGATGAGAGGGTAAATCTTCCAAATGGTGCCTGTGGCAACTGTCCAAGAGCGGATTTCACTCACATCCTCTCACTTCCTGTTGACAGGAAATGAAGGGAAATCTCCCTAATGAGACACAGGTGGCAAAAAAAAACCACAGCAGATTTAACTATCCAGAATGCAAAACATTTTTGACTTTAGGTATACTTTACGGAAGCAGTTTGTATTTATTCATCATACAGACCTGCCTACTCAGTTGTGCCTTAAGATGGCCATACACCTATAGATTACCGTATATACTCGAGTATAAGCCGTCCCGAATATAAGCCGAGGTACCTAATTTTACCACAAAAAACTGGGAAAAAGTATTGACTCGAATATAAGCCGAGGGTGGGAAATGAGGCAGCTACTGGTAGATAGATACGGTCACGCTTTAGTATCTTGCTATTCGGCCCCTCTGGCTCTCGCAATACCTGAACAATGCCTGCATCCAATCAGATAGTTCAGGTATTTTGAGAGCCAGCTGGGCCGACTAGCAAGATACTGAAGCTTGGCCCAGGTAGAGATTGCTCCAGCCACACAGTTTAGCGTAGTTGGAGGAATCTGTTGCACTTTTTCCATCTGACCAAAAAAAAAAAAGTCTACAGAGGTAGCTGATCCGTGAAATCATCTGTCATTAGGGAACTACAGGTGAATAGTGTAAATTTTTATTTTCTTTGGAAATTAATTTAAATGGCACAAGGTTATAAGTGGAATATATTAAGCTATGCACCAGCATAATATTCCTAAGGAAACATGTGGTTGTAGGAATGTGTCTAATCTCTGGGAAGCAAGCACTCTATTGTTATCTCCTGGCTTTGTCTTCTGTGAGGAATTTGTTATTTGAAGCAGTAAAAAAAGCATGTGTTCTCACAAAAGGACTTCATTGTGTAAGGACATTTCTCCTTTAGGGTAATTTGTTTACATACACTAAGATAAAAAAAAAAGTGGGCATACAAAACTGGCAACGAATTCTAGTTGTCCTTGAAGTCTTATAAAAGTATATAATATACTGTATATATTCCACTGCTTAGGTCTCCCATCCCTTCCTCCCACCCTGATTGCAACCATTGGCCTTTCTTTTTTTTTTTTTTAACTCATCTAAGTCGACCATCAGATGGCCCTGTTAACTTCCTGCTAATGCTTCCATCTAGGGCTGCAACAACTAATCGACATAATCGATTATAATCGATTATTGAAAAAGTTGTCAACTTTTTCAATAATCGATTAATCGGCTTCCGATCAGTTGGCCCTGTTCACAGCTCCACACGCTGCGCGCCGCACCTCCTCCCCACCTCACGCTCGCCGCTGCCAGACCCGCCCGCATCCACGCTCTTCACGCCGCACCTCCTCCCCGCCTCACACTCACCGCCCGCCCACATCCACGATCGGCACAGGGACGCGGGGAGATGTAGTAAGGAGGAGCAGGTGTGGGGGGATGACAGCTGCTGATAGACAGGTCCGATCTCAGAAGCAAGTTGCTGGAAGACTGCTCAGGTAAGCCTGCACTTTCCCACACATGGTGCTCTATAATGTATTGCTGGGATTTGTATTCCTCTATAGCTGATGGTACATTGTGCTGTATATTATACATAGGAATACAAATCCCAGCAATACATTATACACTGTATGTATAATGTATTGCTGGGATTTGTTGTACTCCTCTATAGTTGGTGATATTCTGCACTGCCCTGTATAGAGGACTACAAATCCCAGCAATAATACATTATACAGCGCAATGCAGAATACCGCCAGCTATAATGTACTATTGCTGGGATTTGTTGTAGTCCTCTATAGCTGGTGGTATTCTGTATTGTGCTGTATAATGTACTATTGCTGGGATTTATAGTCCTCTATAGCCGATGCCATTCTGCATTCATTGCTGTATAATTTTACACTTTCCATTTCACTATATTGCACTCCACACCATTTTTTTTACTTCCACCGCTCCAAGCTTGCTCCTGTGATGGACTACAACCTCGATACAAACTAGTAGTCCATCACTGGAGCCATTTTTTAAAATGTATTTTATTGTTTATCCGATTAACCGATTAATCAAACTCAATAATCGGCCAACTAATCGATTTTGAAAATAATCGTTAGCTGCAGCTCTACTTCCATCTGCAAGTCTGATTCCCTCTTTGTCATTCCTGAGGGTACCCTGTTGGCTGCCTTCTTGTTCCACTATCACCAGGTGATACCCTTTCCGGTAAAACAGACTCGCTCTACTAAAAATATTAACTCTTGCAGTACCCCCGCACTGCTAGGGTTAAGTGCTTGTTTTGGTCTAGAGGGAAAATAACAAAAGATACTCGGAGCTGGACAGCTGTGACACCGCTCCCTCCAGCCTGTCGCCTCCTATGCTGCAGCAACAGAATGTCCATCAAAGTCCTCACGTCCTATACACTGTGAGGGGAATTTATCAAAACCTGAGCAGACAGAATCTGGAGCAGCTGTGCATGGCAACCAATCAGCTTCTCTCTTTCAATTTCAAACCTTAACTGAACAAACTGAAGAGAAAAGCTGATTGGTTGCCATGCACAACTGCTCCAGATTTTGTCTGCTCCAGTTTTGATAAATTCCCCTCTTTGTATAGAATGTGATAACTCACAGGACCTTAGACTGCTGCAGTGGAGCAGGAGGGAGGCTCCAGGGACCAGTCTAAGAGCGAGCTGGCTTTGAGGTGAGTATAACTTTTTTTTTTTTAATTTTCCTCCCTAGACCAAAACAAGCAGTTAACCCTTGCAGGGGTAGCCCCATTGCAAGGGTAGATAATAATTTCCCCTGAAGTGCTTCCAAGAGGGTCCTTATAATACATAATTTTGGTAAATGTAAAATTGATACGGTCCGGTTAGATTTTAATGTGTACAGCTTTGATTTGTTAGTGTCCAGTCACCTGAAGGCAGCTGCATAACCCAATGGCTCAAGAAAATCGCTCCCTGTGTCATGTAATGTACACCAAGAAACCGATTTTACAGGATAGACTTCATTCACACTATGAGATTTGGGATACCTGTGGCAGGATCCTACGGATCCCTGTGGCAGGAATTCCAAATACCATGTTTAACTGAGGCTGCTGTACCCAAGTTAATGACCAGGTGACAGTGGCTGCATCTGTAAGCGACAGTGCGCACATAAACGTATGTGGGAATCACACAATTTGAATGAAGCCTTAGGCTGGCTATACACTGTTCTTTGTTTCTCCTTCAACCCGCAGGCGGGAGCAGGTTCCTCCATCAACACTACGAATGCGTTGATAGAGGAATCCCTGCTGTTCCTTTTGTACTCTTGACAGCGGCCGCCGAAAATTTGTTTGAAGATTTCCTGACCGGCTCCTTTGATCAGCTGATCGAGGGATGCCGGCCGAAAGGGTGCCGACAGTGGTACCCGCTGTGCGAATTTCAGCTGCTTCCTGAAGAACTGGACGAAAATTGTATATGGCTACCTTTTTAGAAACAAGGGTTATTTTAGATCATGCCTTGCCGCAGGTCATCGCCTTTCTTATGCATTGCCACAGTCGAATTTTCCATTGTTGGCACGTGGCTTAATTTCATGATCCTCAGCTCTTGACATATGAAGAGGCATTCTTAGCAGTTCGGTTTCTGTTTTCTCATCTTTCAGAGTTTGTGGTTGCTATAATGTTGTTGCTTAGGAAAGGTTGGGCAAGTGTTTTATAATGTAAATATTGCTCAACAGAGAAATGTCACAATCTCAGGTACAACACACAATACATACTCTGCGCAGCTAATAGAGCTAATGTCACTGTGCATGGGCAACCATCAGACACAAGGAAACTTAAAGAATAATTCCACCTACGACTTCAGTCAAGAAAAATTGTGCAATTATTAGGGCGTACCGATACTAGTGTCGGTTTGTAATTTATATATGTATTGGTAATGCTCCGATACTTATCCCGATAGGGAGATTTCATCTGACTGGCAGTGCTGCGAGGGAACATGGAACCAGCTTCCCAGCCAATCAGCATCGAGCTAGCCAAACAGCATGAAGCTGTCCTCCCGGCCAATCAGTAAGCCGGGCAGGAAATATAAATATCGGTACTCGATACCGAAAAACTGGTATTGGTGCATCCCTAGCAATTTTGTTTTCATAGGAGCCAGTAAAGCATTGCAACTGTAGTTAGTAGATCGCTGGTGCAGTGCTCTGGCTCCTGCAGATTGTTCCTCCCGTCCATGTCCGAACAGAAGTATCGACATGCAGTAACAGGGATGGAAGGAAGTGACAGCCACAGATATAAACGTGGCTGCAT